CTCCACTCCCCCCCACCCTGAATGCAGCCTGGCCAGGCGCCTTTCTCAGAACGGGGCCCTTGGGGACAGGGTGATTCTAAAAGAGGCACAGCCTGGCTCCTCCACAGCCTCATGAAACCAGTTCCCATGTTTACGTGCTGCCTCCCCAGAGAGCCCGGCCATGCCCAGCTCCGATCCCCGGACGTCTGGCCCAGCCTCTTGTCCACGAGGTGGGCACATCCCCAAGACTGAGTGAGTTAAGCACCGGGGCACGCGGCATGGTCGGTTCCTGACGTGGAAAATACTCAAAATGTGAAATTACTATTATCATTATCATCACTAGTATTATTCTCTGGGCTCATTGCAAAAGCATCCACTAACACATGACAGTTCACCCTGAAAATATGCGTGAAAAGCCTCAAATGGAGCCCAGCCGGCTGGCGCGGCTCAGTGACCGAGTGCTGACCTCTGAACCAGGAGGTCACGGTTCAAATCCCGGTCAGGGCACATGCCCGGGTTGTGGGCTCGATCCCCAGTAGGGGGCGTGCAGGAGGCAGCCGATCAATGATTCTCTCTCATCATTGAGGTTTCTATTTATCTCTCCCTCTCCCTTCCTCTCTGAAATCAATAAAAAATATTTTTTAAAAAGACTCAAATGTTACCTTCCTCGTTAAAGATAAGGAAGAAAAGCTGTTGCTCAGTGGTTAGAGCACCAGCCCGGGGACTGAAGGGTCGTGGGTTCAATTCTGGTCAAGGGCATGTTCTTCGGTTGCAGGCTCACGGTGTATGCAGAAGGCAACCCGGTTGATATGTCTCTCTCACATCCATGTTTCTCTCTCTGTCTCTCCCCCTCCCTTCCACTCTCTCTAAAAATCAATGGGAAAAAAAATATACTTGGGTGAGGATGAACAACAACAACAACAAAAAAAAAACACAAAAAAAGATAAAGAAGAAAAGAGTAAAAAGGATTTACTATTTGCTGGCCCCAGAGGTATCTTAACAATGAGTCTGGTCGGGGAAATATCTCTTAAGATCCAGTCGCCACATGCCCTTGCCGCTGTGTTTACTGATGGCTCAGGGAAAAGGCAGGACTTGGAAATAGTGAAACCGCACAAAAGCCACCAGATGGGTTTGTGAGAAGCAGCCGTAAAACGAGCCCCTGCCTCCTGGGCACCGAACTGGCCACCGTGTATGTTGCGGGGGATTCTCTCTTCATCAGAGGACGGTCTCGAGCCCCTACGATTGGTTTTGCTCCCCGAAGGGAAGTTAAAGGAGACCCTAGCACAGTGGTTCTCAACCTTCCCAATGCCGAGACCCTTTAACACAGTTCCTCATGTTGTGGTGACCCCCAACCATAAAATTATTTTCGTTGCTACTTCATAACTGTAATGTTGCTACTGTTATGAATCGTAATGTAAATATTTGATATGCAGGATGTATTTTCATTGTTACAAATTGAATATAATTAAAGCATAGTGATGAATCACAAAACAATATGTAATTATATGTGTGTTTTCCGATGGTCTTAGGCGACCCCTGTGAAAGGGTCGTTTGACCCCCAAAGGGGTCGCGACCCACAGGTTGAGAACCGCTGGCACCCACAGTGAGGGCGTGTGCACTCGCCCACGGTGGGAGGGGAGTGAGACACCTCGGGTCCTGGTGGACAGGCACGCCTCCCAGCGGGGGATCAGAACTCCAGGGGTGCTGATGGGTGCACATAATTGGGGAGTTCCAGCCTGCTGACATCAGAGACGCATACACGTCCTGCCGACTTCGTTTCGGAACCTCCCACTGGACATTCATGTCAGTGAAAACCCTGCTTATAATAACGGAGGGCAGAACTCCACTCTGACTTGTACGTACGAAGCATGCTCCTGGGTGGTTTCATATGCACTAAAGATGCTCGCTTTTAACCTCGTGGCGACCTGGTCCTCTGTTTGAATCCTTGCATGGAATGGTCTCTGATCTTTTCTTTTCTTTTCTTTTTTTAAAGATATTTTTATTGATTTCAGAGAGGAAGGGAGAGGGAGAGCGAGAGATAGGAACCTCAATGATGAGAGAGAATCATGGATCGGCTGCCTCCTGCACGCCCCCTTCTGGGGATCGAACCGAAAACCGGGGCATGAGCCCTTGGGACCCTTTAGTCCGCAGGCCGGCACGCTATCCACTGAGCCACACCGGCTAGGGTTCGTTGTTTATAAGTGGGTGTTGGCATGCGGCTCCCTCGTCATGACTGTTGAGTAGTCATGTGGAAGCATTGACATGTGGGAATGCACACTGTTCTATGAGAGATTACTTTCCTTTATGTCATAGGTCAGGTGTTATACTGACGTGGGGAAGCCAACAGCAGAGGCAAGTTCAAGGTCACTCATGAGAAGAACAGCTCACCCTCTCTCTGTCCCTGGCTGGCTGTTCCAGGCCCTTCCACAGGTAGCAATTCAGCGGATCCTCACGCAGCCCTGTAAAGCTAGCACCAAGATGGCCCCCGGATTACAGGTGGGGAAACCGAGGCACAGAGCACGTAAGGGACTTGCCCGAGGTTAGTTACACAGCCAAGAAGCAGCAGAGGTGGGATTCAAACCTAGGCCTCTGGCTCCAGGGCCCACGAACTAAACTCCGAGGCTAGAAGACCTCCCTCTTCTTACCTAAGAATTTCCCATCAGCAGAATAAAGGGCATAAAACAAATTGTTTGTTGTCAAAAAGGAGCATTAGGTATGAAGGGCCAAAAACGATTGGTCGAGCCCTGGCCAGTGTTGCCTAGTGGTTAGAGCGTTGGCCTGTGCACCAAAGGGTCTTGGGCTCGATTCCCGGTCAAGGGCACGTACTTGGGTTGCAGATTCGATCCCCAGCCCCAGTTGGGGCACATGCGGAAGGCAACCAATTGATGTGTCTCTCTCACATTGATGTTTCTCTCTCTCCCTGCCTCCCTCTCCCTCCCTCCCTTCCACTCTCTCTAAAGATCAATGCAAAGAATATCCTCAGGTGAAGATTAACAACCACAAAGCCCAGGCCGGTGTGGCTCAGTGGTGAGTGTCGACCCATGAACCAGGAGGTCATCATTCGATTCCCAGTCAGGGCACATGCCCAGGTTTCAGGCTTGATCCCCAGGAGGGGGCCTGCAGGAGGCAGCTGGTCAATGATTCTCTCTCACGGGTGTTTCTATCTCTCCATCTCCCTTCCGCTCTCTGAAATCAATAAAGACATATTTTTAAAAAACATTTTAAAAAAAGAACCAGTGGTCTAGTTCAACCCCTTCCATGGTTCAAATGTGAAAAGTGAGGCCCAGAGAGGGTACAGGCTTCGCCGGAGGTCACACAGCACTTCTGGGGGGAAGCCAGAGCCAGGCCCATCTCCTCCCTGCCCCGTTCAGCGCATCGAGGAGGAACCCGGGCCGTCTTTATCTCATGCCAGTTCCTTCAGCTGTTTCACAAAATGTCCCATAATCCTGGTCTCTGTGTTCCCCCCAACAGGCCCCTCCGTGGCTGCTTCTCCACCCAGAGCCGTGGCGTCTTATACCCTCTGTTCCCTGCATCCGAGCCAGCTCCTTCTCGGGGGAAACCTCCCCTGCACCCCCATCCCTATCCACCTCTCAGCCGTGGTGTCTAAAATTCTTTTCACAGTTTTGGTGTAAATCCTCATCCAAGACCGTTTTGGAAACCTTTTTAACAGCCTGAAAAGTGTGATAGTGTCCTGGCCGGGTAGCTCATTGGTTGGAGTGCCGTCCCGATATGCCAAGGTTTCGGGTTCGATCTCCAATCAGGGGCACATACAAGAAGCAACCAACAGCCCGGCCGGCGTGGCTTCGTGGTTGAGTGTCTACCTATGACCCTCAACCTATGAACCAGGAGGTCATGGTTCTATTCCCAGTCAGGGCACATGCCCTGGTTGCAGGCTCGATCCCCAGTGTGGGACATACAGGAGGCAGCTGATCAATGATTCTCTCTCCTCTCTCATCATTGATGTTT